CGATATCATCCCGTGGATGTCGTAAGAGGCGACAGAGAGAAACTATCAGAAGATGGGCAGCGGCGTCTACCTAATAACGACTAAAAATAAAAACTATGGTTGCCAACTATGGTAAATATCCCTCCTTGTGGATACCTATAGGCCTATTCCTAGTGCAGCAGTGGACTTTTTTAGGCTGTAAAGGTAATGGTCTCATCTACTCCGATAAACAACCTCATGTGCATGGTTTAATCACGCTTATTAACGGACTCCACATAGTCAGAAATTCATTCAAGCAATGTATGCGATGTTTGCAACAAAATCCTAGAAAATATTCAAAATGTATCTATCGCCACGTTCAAAAAATCTATTGAACAAAAATTGTATGAGAAGTGATAATACATGTAATAATAAATGTATAAATGTGTTAATAAATGTATAATATTAAGGAATCATCATCGTCATAATTACATCTATGCAAGTCCATTGCTAAAATTAGAATAACGGCATTATATTATTTTAAATAAACCGGCATTATTTCTTTTAATATAAATAAAATGCGGCGTTTATAATAAAATAGTTTTTTTTAATTTTCTATTCTATCTATACTTTGAACTCATGTACGGCCTATATCCAGCAGTGACTGCCGAAAAGGTTCATCATCATCATCATTATCGTATCATTACAGCCCTTCACAAGTCCACTGCTGAACATAGGCCTCCCCCAAGGAATGCCACGAAACACGGTCTTGAGCCACCTTCATCCATCGACTTCCTGTATGTCTTACCAGGTCGTCACTCCATCTAGTGGAGGGTCTCCCTACACTTCGCCTACCAGTACTCGAGAAGCTTTTTCCCAATCGGTTGTAGGTTTTTCAAGCTATATGCCCGGCCCATTGCCACTTCAGTTTATGAATCCGTTGGACTATGTCGATCACTCTGGTTCTACTGCGGATATCCTCATTTCTGAGTTTATCACGCAGAGAAACCCCGCTGAGCGACCTTGAGCGTCCTCATACGGCCAACAGAAAAGGTTATTGATGGTATACTATTATTTTTAGGCATTTAGACATTATTTATAGGCATTATTAGTAAATATGTACAATTTTCATAGGCATGGATAACGTAGTTCTCGTTCTCGGTAATAAAAATAAAAAAAGACAATGACCATCTGTGCCCCAGAAATGCCCAGATAAAGTATATTACAAGATTGCTCTAATAATTAATTTTAAATCATATGAAGCACTGGATAAAAAATTAAAGAAATAAGACATTCTTGTTGACATTGCAGTACGTATCATCGTTTCAATCATTAATTAATTCATGCTTTATTTATTACGGTCTGGAATCACGTCCTTTGGCCCATGTAAATCTCAACATGATTGATATTAGTCGTAAAAGTGATTACTAAATAATCGAATAATAATATACTGCTTTACAACAAAACCAAATAAAAATATGATTTTATAACAAACTTCATCAGACTAATATAAAAACAAAACTAATAGCAATGCTATCTGTAAACGATAAAATTTATAAAAAAAAACCAATAGGAAGTTATCATGTTTAATGTCCAATATCTTTTGAACCGGTGCTTTATATGACATTAAATCTAGATATCATATAAATACTGTTAAAAAGTTATCATATGACATAGAGCTGCAATTTGGGCATTGCATGGCATTACTGACTTTCAGCTCCATACTAATATGGGCATGGTCCTTTAGTTTTATATTCTTTAAACAAGTGAAATATTGAAAAAAAAATACTATGTTTTTTTTAATCATATTCTTGCATTGTCAACCGGTTTGAGTTATATTCAAATTTTCAAGTTTGCAGCTCATCGGAAAGTTAGTTTAAAATCAATCACTAAATTCCACCCGGAACGACAGACAGACGAGAAAGTGACTTAATAAAACGTGGTAAAATGTATGTTATTTTTGTTTAGTTTACTAATGTTTAGTTTTATATAGTTTATTTTTTATTTTTGAAATGAGTTTTATTACTAAAATTTTATTCTATGTATATTTTAAAATTTTTAGCGTTCTACCTTAAAGACCAAACTTACAAAACGAACTAATTTAATGTACTTTATCTCCGTTGTTTTCGCGTAAATCTAAGAAATCGTTATGAACAAACTTACGAGTATGTTCAGAGACCGCTCCTAAGTTTTAGGTAAGGACACAGGTACAATATCAGCGGTTATTCCACACCAGCATTATGTTCTGTCGGGAGCCTTTTTGTTGCTGTAGTGATATTGGTTGAATATATGGTAAATAAAGGTTATTTAGTGAGATAGGCAATTTGGTGATAGACTTTTAAAAGTCTTTCACGACACACACTCAGTTACACGAAATAATGCATCACTGCGTCTCTTTCGTTTTTGCGGCATCAATTCGCGTTACTGCGTACATAGGCAATGTCGTGAAAGACTTTTAAAAGTCAATCACCAAATTGCCTATACATAAAAATACACAATACATAAACACTCACCCAGAGGGGTAGGCAGAGACTATTATGGACTTCCACGATCCTGACGTACGCTCGTCGGTTAAAGGTACTCTTAATTTGGCCCATTTTCAATATATCGCCAATTTGGTCGATAAACTTTCGCCTAGGGCGTCCCTTCCTGACTCTGCCGTTCGTCTCTGCAACATAAATTTGCTTTGTCACTCTTTCTTCACCTCATTCTTTCTACATGACCGAACCACCGAAGCATTCCTTTCTTAATCCTGGTCACAACATCATCTTGCAAGCCATACTCTTTTTTTGTCACACAATTTCTCACCCTGCCATTCAGATTCAGCCCTAATATAATTCTTAATGGCCGCATTTGTACAGCATTTATTCTACTCTCGTGCTTCTTCTGCCACACCAACTTTCACTACCATACATTAAAGTAGGGTCTAACACAGCAGTGTGAATTGCCATGCGTGCCTTTTTGGACACATTTTGACTTCCCACAATAGAGTGTAGAGCCTCATTCACTCTATTTCCTGCGTTCACTCGTCGTTCTATATCCTTATCATATCTACCATCCCTTCTAAATACACATCCCAAATATATAAATTCATCTACTTGCTCGATAAACTCCCCTTCTTTTCTTATTTCATATCGTTTTACTTTCTTCTCTTTCAAAAACCATAACTTTCGTCTTACTTGCTTTCACTTTACTATCTGACAAATTGCCTATCTCACCAAATAACCTTTCTTTACCCTACATGTGAATAAATAAAGTAGTTTCTTTCTTTCAATAGTATGATTCAGGTATTTTAGCATATGTGTCCACTCCAACATTTATATAAATTGAGCCTAAGGTTTATTAAGCTTAAAGTGCTTTTAACAAACATGCAAAATTTCAAATAGCGTGGAACAATACCGCATGTATTCTGTTTATTTAAATAAAGAAACAAACTAGATTTCAGGTGGATGATTATGATTATTATCACATACGATCACGACTTCATTAACAGTGTAGAGTTTGGCCTTACACCGGAACACCATTCGTCTCGCACAACCCCATCTCTCCTTAAGGCAGTGGGTTCGTCTCTTGTCTTTCATTAATATGAACTTGTACCCGTTTACCAGAGCTTGCCTGTTCCCTTGACGTGACGTTATGAAAAGTGCTGCAAGTAGAACACGTACAATTCAATTTCTGATGATTTTTTTAAATCTTACGAATAAACCACATTTACAACAATTAATGTTTGTTACCCAATAATCGTGTCATGGCGGTGTTAGAATATCCACTACCCTATAACATCCCGTGGGTTTCGTAAGAGGCGACAGAGGGAAACTTACCAGGAAATGGGCAGCAACCACCCCCTAATAACAGCTAAAATATAAATAACCGCGGTTGCAAACTCTCCTGCCAAGTGCGGCAAATATATATGACACATATATATATATATATATATATATATATATATATATAAATGTATATATATATATATAAATGTATATATATATATATATATATATATATATAAATGTATATATATATATATATATATATATATATATATATGATAATTCTTCCGTCCTGTGAGGCAGTCTATGTTGGAGGGCTATGTTCAGCAATGGACTTTTATAACGCTGTTACGGTAAAGGTAACTTTAAAAATTCAATTGAAGCTACGTTTAATAAACGTTATTTAACAATAAATAACGTTTATTAAACGTAGAACGAAGAACAGTCTCATTTCTCATTGCTAAAAAGCCCGAAACATTCACACACCGCCCATCAAAACGAAGGCCACCCCTATAAATTACCTCATAGGAGGATATTTGTCATAGTTGCTACCCTTGGCAAACGGGTCGCACCCAATTTTTTTATTATAATTATTGGGTTGTTAGCAGGAAGATGCCTATCTCCTTTGTCAATTCCTGTCTTCGTTGTGCCTTCCCTTTGTCACCTCTTACAAGACCTACGAGGTATCTGATCTTTATCGTAGACACCAAAAAAAGCATATAAAAGCCCCTATGCTTTTATATGAAAAAAAAAACACGCAACGTAATTCTAGAAGTTATCGGATTACATGTTAAGGTCATGTAGGAAAGGAAAATCGAAGTCTCAAAAAATTCGTAAGATGGCGAGTTATGCAAAAACATTATAACGTCCTATCCGAATTTTGGTCGACCAGTCGCGACGAAGCTAGTCAGTATTATAGTGCACGAGCATGTGCGCAAGCACAAGTACAGTCTCTGTAACCTCACTCAGTCCGATGGAACTGACAGATCCGATACGACCGGAGAGAGATCAAGCACAGGACCACGGGCTTTACGTGATTTCTGAGTTGCAGTGGTGAAACACCGCCATTTTCCTGGCTCCGGGTTGCTACTGATAATTTCTTGACAATATGGAGTAGTGGATAATTTTACAACACGGTTTAATGCAAACAGTATACACGGTTAAACTGTAATTTCATGACAAATAAAATATGTGTGTAAAGCAGGACAGTTAAGGTAAAACTAATAAATTTTAGGTTATAATAATGAAATAACTAAGGTTAACAGCAAGCCTCTATTTCTTTTCGTGATTATGTTCATTGTATATTGCAACAATTTTGTTATCGACAGTACTTAGGCACGCCCGACAGTACTTATTTTGTGTACAGCACCATCTGTTCCTTCCCGGTTTGTAGTTTCCTGGCTTAAGGTAGAACGTATACTCGCCCACTTTAATATTAGTCTTGCCTTTCTTTGTTTTTATTAAGGTAACTGAAAACAGCAAAATTTTCTTATAATATATACAATTACATAATAATTTCAGTTAGGTATCTAACGTGATAACTGTCACATGACTAAACATGAAACCTAAAAAGTTAATGAGAATGAGATGTCTCATATTATTCTCGTTAATAGTTTTTAGATTTCGACCTTTTTTTTTAAATACTAACAATATACCATTACTAATATTTTAGTTGAACACTTTAAATGTCTGTATTATGAGTGGCTCAAAACAGTAGTCAAATGGCAAATTCGTACCCACAACCTTTGAGTTTGCGGTCCGCGTGTTTTGTTTTCAGTTCTGGTTTTAATATTATGTTGTCGATGTATCTCTGACATTGTATCCTAGAGTACCTTTGACCCGAAGCATTGCATATAGTGCAGGGATAGGTAAGGTCGACTGAATGGCTCTGTTTTTTATGTATATCGGCTCAATATGTCCTTCGCATTTTTTATTAGCATTTAAGTAACCAATGCTACCATTCATTTTTTTTGTCAAGATTTCGCAATGGTCGAAAAGTCGACACCTGCACAAAGAGTTATCATATTGCATACCCAATTAGTCCACGGGCCCACATATAAGGGATTTCAGTGATTAAATAAGCTGTAATATTGTATACGAATATTCCATTTAAGCAATTTCAAACAAAAGCTGGAGAAAATTATGTTCAGGACTTAAACATATTATGTTTTCAAGATTTAATTTGTTTTAGTATTTCGAAATGTTCATTTGTAATTAATCGCTTCCATTTTTTTTGTATGCCAATAGTTTCATGGTGTTATACGTTTGATTCTTAACAGAAAAAATAAAAAAAGAAGTTGTTATTAATCAAAAAAAGATTAACATAATCTTGACAACTATCGAGTGTAGGTCTCAAAAAAATTACCAACAAATTTGTATGCCTGCATTTTTATAATAAATATATATTTTGCAAGCCCCAAAACAAAAATCAGCTTGTTACTAATAAGTTTTTTCAAGTCACCATTCTGACATGTTAGAGCTGGGGGTCACTCGGAAGGTACCATTCACTTTGTATGCCACAAGTTTTTCTCAGTTTTCCATCGTATTTTCTCGAAGTATTGATTTTTAGAAACTGTTATTATTTAATTTGGGACACTCATCAAATCGATGTGTTTCGCTCCCTATCGCGCTTTTTCCCCCCACTATCAGAATTTCGTCCAATGATAAAAGTTGGGTGTCTCGTCAAAACGAAGCTGTGTATAAACTTTCTACCTGTTATTAATCACTGAAATCCCTTGTATCTGGGCCCGTGGACTAAATATACCATCATAAGAGAAAGCAAAAATAAGAACGTACAACACAATTTTTTTATTTGTAACAATTTTATTGCCAGAATGGGAATACCTAGATATAATATTATGATTTAAATATTAATTTTTTTAATTTAACTTTGAGAAAATTCTCAATTTACTTCGGATATCGTATAAGTACGTCGACTTCTAAAGCTATTTTCAAATTTATTTAATAAAAGATGAGAAATATTTTATTTTAATTCTTTTTGTAAATTTTCTGTAAAAATAGGAATTAAAAAGCATTTCAAAAATAATTCTTTAATAACTAATAAACAAATATAAATATTTTAAATATAAACACGTATTTTTTATAAATACTCCTACTTATTTTAATTTTCATTCCGGTAAAAATTTAACGATTGGTCATTATTTCGGCAACTTTGAGTAAGTACTCCACACAAAGTTTAAATTAATCCGCCAGTACCTACTGCTTCATTTTTTTCGTTTCTTCTCATGTTCAACTTTTTTTGATGCATTATTCATTTCAACAATACAAACTCCTTAGATTTGCTATAGAATTATTCGAATTCAATGGTCTGAGTACATGGCAATAACTTTTTAGTAATTACGTGCTTAACGTACGAGAAAATCGATCCTTATTAACCATTTACATATAACAAGACGTATAAAATTCTTTGAATAACAAATGCAACGAAACTCTGTCAGTGTATATGGTTGCCGCGCACTTTGACTATAATCCCGTCCAGTGTGTGCACGCAGGCATTGCAACGTTTGTGGCTGGAGCAAGCCCATCTCACTTTTCTCTTCAACTGACGATGCATCCTGTAGGTATAGCCGTCGAATAGAATCATAGGTTTACCCGTCCTTGATTGTATTATTATTGCTGAAAAAATAATTTGTTCAATTATGATTTTATTTGAAATTCAATGCTTAGTGAGAACGGACCAAAATTAATATTTAAAAGCTGAAGGTAGCCCCGGTCAACTATGAAATATGGACGGGTGTTAGAACGCTTTACAAACACGAAACGTCCGGAAAAATAAAACTTTTCATAAAAATTAAAAACTGACTTCCGCGTGCAGGAAGGACCTATTCAATAAAATATGAATCATTTAAATCGGTTCAACCGTATTCGAGAAATCGGTTAACAGGCCAAAAGAAAAAAAACATATGCGTCGCATTCTTAATTTTTTTTAACACGATTATTTAAAATTAAACGCGATAAAATCCGTAAAATTAGTTTTATCGATCTATGTCACGCAAAAGGTATTCGCTATAGAATAGGAAATCGTTATGATTCAGTTATATTTTCACAACCTAAAAGAAATTTTTTAGTGTTAACTATAGAAAATTGCAGGAATCTTATAGTCTTCTCGAAATATTTTCAACGATTTGCGACAACTTTCGTTTTTGCTTTCACATTATCGTAAGCGTTTGCCATGCGCCCATAAACATCTAAATCTATCCTCCATTAAGAATCAAAAGGCTAATGTATATATACAGTAATCTATGGCTAATGCTTTGTCATAACTCTATGATGAAATTACTCGTATGTCGTAGTAAACCAAAAATTAGAAAAAGAGTCTATGTTTTTCGTCTATCGTTCGTGAAACAGTTGCTACTGTTTTATGCTGATATTTTGTGTGTTGCTCTTCCACGATCAAGGCGACGAGATCCCGCTGCAGTGTTTCTAAATCACACGGAAGAATGGAAAACCAAAAATTTGTGACCTTGAGATCTTGGACTCCGTGCCGAATTAATATGCTATTTTGAGAAGTAGACAACGCGGTTATCATATTAAAGGCCATAACGTTTTAGATTTGATTTTCCATAATTATTTAGATTGTATTTGGCAATTATTTTTAATTTAATTAAACAAGCAATAAAAAGCAGTAAACAGATCCAATTACCTTATAATTTTTCAATTAGTTCTAGAACAATTTTTAAAATATTAATGAATATGAATATTTCACTAGATTACAATTAATTAAACAAGAAACATTTATCTAACAGATTTGTACTGGACAGGTGCTTAATACATTTTATTAATGGTTATGATCATTACTAAGTTTGACAATTTGATCGAATACGGTGTAAAGTTGCGCCCTGCAACCTCGAAATACGTGAGTAGAGCAGACCCATCGCTTCTTGGTGCCGCTGGACGATCGCTGGCTGAACACGTAACCACCCACTTTAATCATCATCCGACCGGTCTTCTTTGACGATATGAGCTCGCACGTAACTGAAAAATATAAGGCTGAAGTAATCTGTTTCATAATTTCTTTACCATTATTTTTGCCATTTATTTCATCATTATGAAACGGTGCGAGGATTTTTTTTCTACAACTACAAATTTTTATAGCTTTAATATTTTGTCTTACAATCTTGATATGTACAGTTGCATAATGATTAGTGATAATGAGTAAACGAGAATGCACATAAAATTTTCAATGCTAAATTTTTTTCATTAGTATGGATGACAAAAGATCATACAGTTTACCTGTTAGTAAGTGAATTGTAGCACCTACTTGATCAGAATGCATGTATTTAGTTTCTAATCTTTTTTAACTTAATTGTTACACCTATATCCAATTTTCAACACTCCATGGGTTAACTTTGTTTCCATTCTTATAGGGAATGCAAAAAAGATTAAAATTGAACATAAGTATAATTAAATAAATAAATACAGATAACTTTAAGGACATAGTCGGAATACCTTGCTTAGAAATATATTTGATAGAAGTAGCATGTCGGGACTAGTAACAGGCAATTTGTCCGGTCACAAAAAAAATTCAAATCACACTCTTGGAAGCGTACTTGAACAAAAATCTTAATTTCCTGCCGACTTCTAAAAAGGAGACGGTACTCAATTCGACTGAAGGATTTTTTTATGTGTGTTACCTCATAACTTTTTACAGGGTGAACCGATTTCGATGATTCTTTTTTATTTGAAAGCTGGTACTTCTCGTGTGGTCTCATATGAATTTGATCAAGGTCAGACCAATAGTTTTTGAGTTATTCTTAATAACTTATATAAAGTCGGCTGACAAAAATTTTAATTTTAAATTATTTCTGAAACGATGTCGATTTCGTACATTTTGACGCCAAATTACAAGCGTGTGACTTATTTGAAGGCAATGCCTGAAGGCCGACTGACAACAATGAATGCTATAGGGCATTAAATCCGACCTTTGTAACCCTTAGTTGAAAGTGTGTTGCAAAAAAGGATAAATAACTAAATAACAACCGGGCCGGGCTCCAGTGTTACCGGCGCTACTTCATTGAAAGTTACGTTGACATGCCATATTTGCCACTTTTGGCATTAACCGCAGCATTTTATTATTTTGAGTTGTCGTCAGGAAGATGCTGCTGCCCATCTCCTGTCTTGTTTCACTCTGTCGCCTCTACACTGTTAGAACACTTTTTCGCTTCTATGTATGACGTGACTAATGTTGTTAGTTTTCTCAGAATATTAGTCATTTTTAAAAAGTATTACAATTGTATCAAAAATTCGTATATGTATTTTGAAATATTTCAGATAATACAGGATGCAATACCACGTATTGTAGGTATACAAAAAAGTAAACGACGTACGGCGACATCTTCATATTTAATCAGTCATTGCGAGTGTTGGTGCGTGTTATTGCACTTAATGACCTCGTCGTCGTATGTGTGCACAACGGCTCGGCACTTCCTGTGGTTGTGAGTGGAACACACCCAGCGCCTCCGTCTTCCCATAACACTTTGACAGCAAAACGTGAAGCCGCCTATGCGTATCAGATCGCGCCCTCGGCGTGATTTCACATATTCAACTGAAATTAAATGAAATAAAAAACATGCGTGAGTGTCGTGGAACATTCGGTTAGGACGAAGTTCCTTTCGTAGTATATTATTATTGAGAAACGTATTATATTATTGATTGACAAAATAAATACAAATAAATCAATCATTAGCGTCTATTAAAATGAGGCGTCATTTAAAATAAAAAAAGTTCCTTTCGTAGTATATTATTATTGATAAACGTATTATATTATTGATTAACAAATAAATAATACAAATAAAAAAAATTTGCACACTATGACGCAGGGGGTAGTGACGAAAATATCTTACACTTTTTGTCGCTTAGCTCCCATCCGCCAAACCCGTACCGTCCGATAAGGACCACGCTCTCTCAGAATACCTCCCTGGTGTTGCAGTTGTTCATGGGCGGCGGTAGTCACTTACCATCAGGTGAGCCGCACGCTCGTTTGCCCCCTCTCCTATAAAAAAAATACCAGCGTAAAATAGCAGCTTAACACTGCTGTGTTTCGTTTGTTAAGTGTAGATAACAAAAGATCCTTTTTACTGGAAAAGAGTCCCCACGGGTAACAACGTATTTACATTTTGATTCTTTATTGAGGATAGATGTAGATGTCTATGGGTCACAGCAACCACTTACCATCAGGTGGACTGTGTGCTCGTTTGTCACCCTATCCTATAAAAAAAATATAAGTTACATTATTAGAACAAAGTTATATTACTATGCTTATTATAATAATGTTGTATTACTTATTAAAGGATTGCCATAACCACAAATTATTATAATAAATTGGATGGTGGGCTTTTTTATCTGTCTAGGTGGGTACCACCCTTTACCCATTTCTGCTGACAAGCAAAAGTGATCTAATTGCTCCGTTTCGGTTTGAAGCGTAAAAGAGTCAATATAATAACAATCTATGATTCATTTTACGTATATTAGAGTGTTAGCTCGTTTGTGAATCTAATATTGTAAAAAAAAATACTAGATGATACCTATAGTTACTAGTTACGTTTATTATACTTTTATTGTTATTTTTTTTATTTTAGACAGCTTCGTACCTGCAAGCGAAGTTTAGGGCGCCACCCACCAGACGCCATAACCTGGTAATGCATGCAAGAAGCCGATAGATGCAGATTTCAGCAGGTGTAAGCATTTAGCCTGCATATAAGTACACAGAATAGTTCAAGTTTTTGTCAAACAAAATTGAATAAACTACTTTCAATTTTCATTTTCATTAGTTATATCCAGTCACGTAGTCACACGGGCGCTTGTTATATTTTATGTAAAATCTATCATCAAAATTTACTTTAACTTTCTGTTCTTTTCAACCAATTTCAAAAAGGAGGAGGTACTCAATTCGAATACATGTTTTTAGGGTTCCGTACCTCAGAAGGAAAAACGGAACCCTTATAGGATCACTTTGTTGTCCGTCTGTCTATCTTTCTGTCTGTCAAGACTCTTTTTCTCAGGAACGCGTGGAGGTATCAAGCTGAAATTCATATCAAATACTCAAGTCTACTGTCCCTTGGAGCTAAAATCAAACTTTTAAGCCAACGCAATCAAAAGATACAGCCGTTTATGCCGCAAATATTATGCCGCCAGGGAATCAAAACCTACAGGGTACTTCCCGTGAACTCAGAATCTTAAAATTTGGTACGAAGCAACGTATTATAGCACAGATAAAGGAAAAATTGCGAAACGCATACATTTTTTGGTTCATCATATAATAAAAATATTTTTAATAATTTTAACCTACGGATTTGTTCGGAACCCTCGGTACGCGAGTCCGACTCGCCCTTGGCCGGTTTTTTTTGTGTGTGTTACCTCATAACTTTTTTCTCGGTGAACCGATTTCAATGATTCTTTTTTTATTTGAAAGCCGGTGCTTTTCATGTGGTCCCATATAAACAAGCTCTGACCAGTAGTTTTTGAGTTATCGTTAATCATTTATACTCGTATTGAAGTTAATTGCACAATTTTTTTAATTTTACCACTTGTGTTAACGGTCAGTGATTGCAAATAGTGGGATATTAACAATGTTAATAATAATGGCTACTCGCTATGGTAAATGGTAAATTAATGCAATACCTTCTTAAGTTATTTTAATATAATATAATAATTAGACTCGTCTTAAAAACAGAATACAAAATATTAAAATTTACAATTAGCCTTTTTACAATTAGAATCACATTAAATAATGTAATGTACAAATAAAATAACATTTTTAATGATTATGTACATTCCGCACTTTAACAACTAAAGAACCAACAGTGTGTATGAGCGCACAACATCCTTTATAGTTGTGTGTAGAACATGTCCATCTAGTTTTAACCCCCGAGCTCTGCTTCTTGCAGAATGTGTAACCGTTTAGCCGTAGTAAAGGGTTGCCTTTCCGCGATGTAATTATTTCAACTGCTAAAATTATAAATAAAATAATATTTAAATTATCATAGGCATATCGGCCTTACGAGTTATAAGGTATATTGGCTACATATAAATAATATACATTAGGAAAGAGAAAGAAGGACGGTTTAGTAGAGGCCCGTACATTGGGACTCGGAGGGGTTAATCATTGATATATTATACATAACTACGCAGTTTTTTTTATATATTTTATTTATCAAACACATAAAAACCATTTATATACGAGGATATGATCCATACCTTCTCAATATTTACGTGATAGAGCCATGATGTTTTCTATCTTCTTTATTGCTTTGTTTTAATTCACTGCTGGAAAGGCTTTTTCAAAGACAACAAACTCTTGACATAAAATGGTGACAGTATACGTACTAAGGCCACAAGACAAACTTTCTAAACTGTGTCAAATGACATGAGCCTCTCCCTGTTGGATTTACCTCAATCATCACTCTTGGCAGGCGTTGCTTGTTAACAATCGCAAAACCAGACGTCTTGCACCTTAAAAGGTGCTACTTGTCACCGGTTTGGGTAATTTACGCCCTGCATAGAAATATTAACCATATTATACATATACCGTCATCTATCGCCAGCCATGAGATTTTCCTTGCGTTTCCCATAGTTGCCTTTTAAAACACCCACGGGACGAAATTAGATGATAGAGTCTCTTATACGCCAGCACATGGCAAATGGAAGTTATTTAGTTAAATTTTTACTTGAAATTTGATACATAATTACGGCAAATGAAATTTGAAAACAATTTTTAATTTCATATAACAGAATCAGCAAGTTGAATAATTTGCATATTATGTGATGGTGTAGTTACATTTTATGTAATAAGAAATGATACAACTTGACAGTTCTGCTATATCAATTTAATTATTAGATTTTTCAATAGCTAAGGTTGCGAAATGAAACATTGAAAAGAAACAACGTAATATAATTATGACGGCAAAAGTACAAATTGTAATAAGGTAGTGGCACAAGTAATGTACTTAGCACTTCGACCGACATAGAAAGATGGACGGGGCGCTGCGTACATTTTATATGATGATAATAAGTGATGGTTTAAACTATGCTCAACTTCTTGACACGCACTCACACACACACACATATTTTTTCTTTCTTCCTTTATAAGCCCGTGGAAACTTACTGCTGGACGCACATACACCTAAAACCCATGTTGTTGGTTGTTAATGATTTTAGATGCACATGTGTACGTGAGTGTTAATTCTTACAATAACTTGAGCTGATTCTGACTATTTAAAATGTACGTAGCGCTCCGTCTTTCTTTCTTTGATGATTTCAGACCTTACAGTAGTTTTAAACAAAATATTACAAAAAGAAAATTGGCAAGGCTAACTATATAAACTGAATTTTCTGATGTTTATTTTAGTTTTTTTTTTTTTTTTCATTAAAAGAGATTATCCATTACTAAATGTCTATTACAGAGTAGTATTCATCACCGGGTGTCCACAAATAGAACTAGTTGTCCAGTACTAGTACTCAGAAAGGTACTTTCTACAATTTTCTATTTAGAATTACTTCAGTATATAATATCTTTATAACTATTAATTTGATGTTTCTGGAGTTGTTTCATCATTTGCACTGTTCATCAAGTTTATAAATCTATTTACAATTGTACTAGGTGATATTATTACATAAACAGTACAAAACTGGTGCCACTACAAACAAAAACATCAGCCAATACGAGTATAAAAAATATTTTGACATTTTTTTAAATGAGTTTACATTGCAATATGCAATGATAGAGAGTACATTAATGATTGTGTTCATTCCTCACTTTAATGATAACGTTCTCATAAGTTTGAACGACGGCGCTGCAACCTTTATTCTTATGCGTGGAGCACACCCAGGTTGTTCTAAATTTGTGAGTTACTTTATGACAAAACGTATAACCACCGATCTTAATCATTGGCTTCCCTCTCTGAGATTGTGTTATTTCAAAGTCTGTAAATAATTATTGGTTAATGACAGACATCAATATCATCGCTTAAACCATTAGAAATTAATCATATCTGTGTAATATAGATGTGTTACTTGTCTTGAAATTTTAAGACTAATATGCGTGCTAATGAGCAAGTATTGACGTACCGTACATATATTACAGTGTGATGCACAAACATATTTGTTTTTTTATAGAATAAGGGTAAAAAACGAGCAAACAGTCCACCTGATAATAAGTGGATTCTGTGGCCTATAAACATCTAAATTTATCCTCGATTAACAATCAAAATGCAGATGCATTGTCACCTTTAATGATTAAAATTGAAATGTTTAGTTTCCAGTAAGAAAGGTCTACGGTTCTCTAAACTACACTTACCATTCGAAACACAGCAGCATGTAGCTGCTATTTTATGCTGGTATTCTATGAGGGCGTTGAATTTCCCCAGTCGAATCGAACCATTCGTGCAACAACCATATTATGTGAGCGTGGCTCTACCACAAATATAATACATAACATAGTGAACTAGCTATATCTTTCTTACTTTCTTTTATATATTTATCGTCTTGTCTCTTTCTTTTTCAGTTCCCACATAGAAATGTTGTATCTGTACGTGGCTGTTACGACTTACAAAAGATGGTGATGATGGTGATTATACGATACGATTCCTTTTTTGCCTTGAAGTCCGTCTGAGTGAGTACCACTCTTTTACCTATTCCGGCCGCCAACCGGAATTCTATAGCTGCTGTGTACACTGCTACATTTCTAAAGGGTGTAGTGAGCAAGTATAACTGCGCGACATTCCATCTTAGCCGACGACGTGATATCTATAACCTTCTTTATTTGACGCTGGTTGCAGATGTTCATGGGCTGCAGTAGCCACTTACCATCTGGTGGTCTGTAAGTTCGTTTATCACTTCATTTTTACAAACAACGATTACGAGTATTCATTACACATTAACTGAGCATTCGTTGGATCTTTCTAAAGTAGCAAAATTAATGTACTTAAACCAAATGTTTTACTCCGTGTAACTATAATATGGTATATTACATAATGGTTTTGTAAACGGTAATCAATTAATTTGCATTGGCGATGTAAAACATGCGAATATTTCGTGTCAGAATTTAACAAGAGTAAAATTTAAAACTTATACACTGACACTTAGTACCTAGCATACTCTCAGTTTTAAAAAGATTAGGAACAGGAAGGAGCTGCACTACCACAGTGCGTACTCGAAGTATTTTAATAATTCTAACATGCTAGTAATTATAGAGCATAAATCGGCATTTATTTTACTATTTTAAATTTCAATAATGGCAATGCAATATTTGGCAGAGGTAAATGTAAAAATATCTATAAATATCAATATCGTAACAGTATTTACCAGTTAGGAATAGCAAATTTACTGTGTAGTTGCGGAAACAAGCTAGGAGTTAGGCAGCAGTGTTTTGTGGTAACTATGGCAAATATCCCCCGTGTGAGGTATGTAGTCTATGCCTATGTTCAGCAGTGGACTTTTGATTGGTTGAAACGGTAATAACATATTATTTAACTTTAACTCTGATAGTCAAGCAGCACTGTTAACGCTGAGATCAAACTTGGTGAACTCCAAGCTAGTTGGAGACTGCGTGAACCGTCTAAACGCCCTGGGAGGTAACAACAAGGTCGTGTTAAGATGGATTCCGAGTCACGCGGGTATTGTAGATAATGAAATAGGCTCAAAGAATACACCTATTTTTGACCCGAGCCATTTTTTGGAATCTCAAACGGCCTCGCCCGATTGACCCTGGAAAATCTTTACCACCATAAATCACTTAAGATCTGGTCTGATACACCAGGCTTAAAACATTTTAAAACCATAATCCGGGCTTTCGATCGTAAATTCGCTTCGGAAGCCCTGGAATTAGGTAAAAATAAATTGCACATTCTGGTAAGAGCCATAACTGGACACTGTTGTCTTAAAAAGCACATGTCGATCCTGGGACTAAGCAACTCAATGATGTGCCGGTTTTGCTCCCTAGAGGAGGAAACGCCTTTACACATCCTGACGAATTGCGAACCCTTAATGCGCAAACGTAGCACTCATCTAGGAAACTATGTACTTCACCCATAAGAAGTGAAATTACTCACATCTAAACAACTCCTTCTATTCATTGAGGACGTAAGGCTTAGCAGTGAACTATAGACATAGCAGCGATCACAATAGATTTTTTAGGTCGCACTGATACTGGTCTCGCTAGACCTGTATAGCTGCTCGTACATAATTATGAAATAATATATATTCTTAAAAATTTTGGGAACCTAATATTAATTAAATAATGTACACGATGTGATATTTTTAATTTTATTTGATGATTTTTAGACATAATTATACTAAGTATTTTTGAATAATATAATATTGCTTAAAGATTACAAAAAAGGCTTAGAAGATTCAAAAATTATAACAATATATAATTTTATTGAATTTAAGGAAATTTCTTATTACATTAAATTTCTTCTTGTAAGAATTTTCACTCATAATAAAAACTTCAGTGGTTATGTTCGTTCTTTATATGTACGATCTCGCTGTCTATCGTGTGAATCACAGCGTGACAGCCTTTCCCGTTATGCGTCGAACAAACCCAACGCACCTTCGGTCCCGACACAATTTGAGTACAGAAGGTGAACCCTCCCACTTCTATCATGGTCTTCCCTCGACGTGACATCACGAACTTTGCTGAAAGCAGTATAATAATAATTTACAAAGTCGAAATTGAGACTGATATCAATAAGTAAAGAATGAATATTCCATGCTGAAATACGAGAGAATGATGTCCAAACCACTTTTGACTACTTATGATCTACTTTTCTACTGGAAGCGTAAAATTTAGAGACCCCCCCCCCATTATAATATAATCACACTGTTATGAGTAACATAACGATAATCATTTATATGTCACTATCCGATGGTTTCATCAGCCGGTTATTGAATCCGCCAGCCCTTTAAGTAAACGCAGTTTTAACTATCAGCCTTTAGAAAACCTACACCAGTTACCTAGCGTAATGTTTAACAAAAGGGCTGCAATCTTTAGCCATCATCACAGTTTGTGAGAGTAATCATGATATCGAAAGTTTTGAAGTTTTGAAAAGCTCAATTCCAAAAAAAAAATTAAAATTCAACTCCATTGGATTTCTCGTAAGCCTAGCCATGTTTTCTGTGTTTGAATTTTCAGAAGATATTAATATAATCTTTAACCGACTTATAACAAGAAATAGTATACAATTTGTTTCAGATTTAATCTAGAATCTGTTTGACGAAAGTAGTCCCGCTGAAATATTTTTATTTATTTATTTATTCTTTATTGCATTCCTTAAAACAAAAGAATACAAAGGGCGGACTTAATGCCTCGAGGCATTCTCTACCAGTCAATCCATAACTATAAAATATGCAGACCAAAATGTAAAATATGGAATTAGACAGCAAATGGCAAATTTTGCACCGCTCATAAGAACTTCTTTCGTGCGAAAGACTCTTCATAAACTTATCTAAATTTGCTATAATGTTACTGTAAGCTACTTTTCGACCGTGTGGCGGCTTGTACGATCTTGAAAATTGTGGATGTAGAAAAAATACGAGGATCGGTGGAAAATTTGTAGCATTCACATATAAAGAACGGTTTGCAGATACGATGACATCATGCGATATGGTCGAAGTGGGCATCCACACTTCATACAAATACTCGATACGATTAACCTGATCAAGATACGTATAAATTGTCAAATTTGAACCGGGCCTAAGTGGTAGCGAAAAGACATGAGAAGTATAAAATTACCGTGACCTTTTGACGCCCTTACTTTCTCCTTTAGCACGTTATAGTGAACTACTGTACATGATTTTCTGCCATTTAAGGGAAGGTTTTAATCGCCACACAACATTCGCTTGTTTCTATCTCTATATAAAAAAATCAATTACTGTCCGTTAGTCTCGCTAAAACTTGAAACAGGCTTGACCGATTCTGATGACATTTTTTGTGTGTTTTAGTGGGTCCCTGGATAGTTTAAACTCACAATTATACGCGATAGGTGGCGCTGTTGTTGAAATCAAAAAAATAACCCGTGCGAAGCCGGGGCGGATCGCTAGTTTTCAAATAAAAATGAAAATCTTTACTTATATGTGACAATTAAAACGAATACATACGGTTTTAGAAATTGTTTAATGGTTATGATAATTTATAAACTTTACAATCCTTTCCTCTACCGTGTATATCTGTGCATTACAACCTTTATTATTGTGTGTGGAACACGCCCATCTGTATTTACCAGCGATGCATTTCTTACGGAAATACGTATATCCATTGAAATTGATCAAAGTATGACCTTTGCGAGATATAACAATTTCATATCCTGAAAATAAGCATATTTTAAAAACGTGTTACTTGTTTTATAACAGGTAAACAACAACCTTACCATGTGACTCCTGTATTTCCTAACGGTATTGCTCTGAAGTAGGTTCTTTTCCTCCTTCCTGCCCTTATCTTACGTTATTAGGGGTCGGCATAGCATGTCTTCCTCTTCCATTCTCCTCTATTAGTCATCATCCCTTCACTCATACGCATATCCCTAATACAGTCATCCATTTTAGGCCTCCCTCTACTCTTATATCCTTTTTCATAGCCAACATTCTTCTTGTTTGGAGTAGGTTGATAGCTTTAAATATGTATGTCATATATTTTGAAGATTTGAGGATCTTAGGAATGATAAAGATGGCGGTGAAAACAATATTTTCGCCTACTATGGACTAGCGAAGTAAAGGTACTTTTTAAGGTATCTGCACTTCTTTTGAGTGGTCTGTAAGTGAAGTATACACAGAACGCCTTTAACGGTTTTTTTTAAAAATAAAATTAATATAACAAACGTACTAACAGTACACTTTCCAATCGTGGCTACTAAAGCTATTATCCCTCTTATGAGGCAATCTATGGGTGGTATATATGTAAAGCAGTGGCATTTAATAGGCTGTCACCATTGAGTTATATGTGTGCGTAGTACATATATATCAACGGCTGTGACCGTGTAACATGAGTACCTTAAAACAAAAGTGCATAACACAGATAGCAGAGACATTCATAGTTGGCCGCATGATGATGCTTGAAGTCACTCAGCGACTTATGGTGAGGGTGACACTATGTTTTTATTTACGGCGCGACATAGCTGTATAAAGCAACTTGCAATTCCTATATCTCAAATTAATTTCTTTTGCAAAATTCTTGGTCAAAACTTAATGTAGTATTAATACTATAATCAATGTCAATAATATCAAAATGCACAAAAAATTGAAGATTTGAAAGAAAGAAAAAAAAAGAGATTTGTCAATGGTTATGCTTATTTATTATCCTCACAATAACTTTATTTTTCGTAAAAATTGTCGCATTGCAGCCCTTATTGTTGTGCGTGGAGCACGCCCATCTTGCTTCTTCATGTGATATTTTTTTACAACAGTAAGTATATCCATTATAGCTGATCAAAGGCTGACCCTTGCGTGACACCCCAACTTTATATCCTGAAGAGAAAGTTAATTATTAACATATAATAGGGAAGGTAAAGCAGGGACGATTAAACTCTGTGTAAAACTACGTCCATGTCACTTGGAAATCAATGAAAATAATAAAGAATAAAATTACAATTGTAGTGTCATTAAGATATGAGCCGTGTGTCCCCTCTAAAAGAGTGTGCAGTGCCTGAAGTAGCGTTTGCTAGTTGTTTTCAGCACACGTTGTCAGAATGACGCCTCATAAATAGCTATCTAATAATGTTGATACTAAGTTACAAGGCATTCGATATTCATGACAAAAACACACGCTTCTGACGTTGACTGCTCAAAATAAAAGTCAAGTACGATTTCAGCTCAAGACTTAGACTTAACAGTATAATACTTATATTAGTAACAGACCATTACACAGCTCATAATTTAAAATTAAAAATTTTGTACAACCCACTTCAATATAAATTATTAAGAATAACTTAAAAACTAATGATCATACATTGATCAAATTAATATGGGACCACAAAAGAAACACGAGCTTTCAAATAAAAAAATAGTCATCGAAATCGGTTCAACCAGAATAAAGTTATTTATGTTCACACATAAAAAAATATTGACCACCGTCTCCTTTTTGAAGTCGGTAGAAAATACTCTAGATCTGCAAATTACAACCAAATCGTTCTATCTCAAAAATAATAAACATTCGAGCCGTGTAGTACTCTAGCAAAACGAATACGATCCCGGCGACACTACTGAGATTGTTAATTATATTGTATCACAGTGTACAGGTACACGCTAAAAACAGACCTCCTTTTTATGGAAGAGGGGACAAACGAGCATGCGGCTCACCTAATGGCATGTGTTGACCGCTGCCCATGAACAACTACAAACTACAGGGTGATCGCAGGTGCGTTGATGGCCTTTTAAAAACAAAAGGCTCTTTTCTTGAAAGTCCCTAAGTCGTATCGGTCCGGAAAAATCACTAGTGGTAGTCCACTCCCTAAGGAAGTTGTGCATGGAAGAAAACTTCTTGTAAATCGCACAGTGCTATCAACTTTTCTTTTTATGGTACAAGGGTGACAAACAACCAGACAGTGCACTGTCTACTCGTTGTCACCCTTGTACCATAAAAAGTCCCCCCCCCCCCTCACATGTTGACGTTATGGTAAGTGGACAATGTGTGCCTATTGACATCTACATCAATCCTCGATAAAAATGTAGATTGTGACCCGTTGTGACCGCTGGGGTCTGATATGGAATGCTTCGTTTCCAGTAAAAAGGGTTTACATACTTGGTTCTCTACACTTGCCATACGAAACACATTAACACTTGTATTCATTTATATACATATCTTATGTAATGTTGATTGTTATACGATAAGATCAAAGATGAATTTGGATCCAGTCTCAGAGATACAGGGAAAACTAAAAACACACAATCATACACAAAAACTTTTTAACTCATTTATTTGGTCATTACTGAAAATTAGCTTTGTAAATTCGCCACAACTCATGCTGAGTAATGACGTTTTGGCATGCCGTTAGCGTACAAAGCCATTTCGTATTTCTTGTTACAAATTAATATTTTGATACATACCAAAATATCATGGTCTGTGCCAAAATAAAGTGTTTCTTTCTTATTTTCTTTCTTTCTAAAACCATATATTTATATCTTTGGACAAAAGCTGACTTCGATTGTATAAGGTACTTTGTCTCCTAAGCATTGTAGTCTTCAGATGTTACATAGGTAATAAATAAAAACATAAAAAAAATTCCAGGTCATATGAATTAAGGCTGTATGTATAATATCTATAAGGTATATAATAGAAAACAATATATTTTCATTGTGTAAATAAAAACAATGAAGTTTACAAACTTTATTCAAGAAAAGACACAAATAATACACAATACCTAAAACACATCAATTAACGGAAAAGCATAGCTATTTAATGTATGTTTGTAAAATATATTTCAATATGAAAATAAAGTAAATAATTTAGTGAGAGTGCACGTTCCTTATCTTGATTACTTCGTCTCCAAAGGTGTGGATGAGAGCAGTGCAGCCTCTGTTATTGTGGGAGGAGCAGACCCATCTACTTTTAAATTTGTTAGTAACTTTATGACAAAACTTGTACTTCCCGATCTTGATCATTCGTCTCCCTCGTGGTGAAATAGTATATGTGAA